TAGAGGAGGGTAGGAGGGTCAGGAGAGAATTTCTAAGCCAGCGGCTGATCTGCCCCATGCAGCAGTAGAGCTAAGCCCTGAGAGTTTGACTGCCTTAAGTTTCCTGCCTTCCGAAGCTAGCAAGGCCCAGCGTTTACACACGGCTCCAGCGTATCAGGGCTGCCCTTTCAAACCAGCTGCGGCTCTGCTTTAAAATCACAAGGATCCCCTGGAATCATTGATGCCAGCAGCCTGGGTCTGTTTACTGACCTGCTGGCTGGAGCATTCAAGTACCAGCCCCTTCTGTCAGCACAAAGGACAAAAACAGGATCAAAAACAAATCCGTCATCAAGATCTCTGTGAAATACCCCACGATTGCAAATCACCAAGCCGTGCCAAAGATTTCATAACCTGGTAAGAACAAAGCTTGTCCTTGCTGCTCCCAGCCACCACTGTACTGGCTGGTCCGAGTGGCTTACTCACAATCACATGCCACAGCCAAAGGTAATTACTTGCCACAGCCCAATTTGCTCATGCCAGGAAGAATCTCTCAACCTTACCGTGCTGGCTACTGTTTAGTGCTGACAAACCCCAAGCAAGAAACATGTGACTGTGAGAATGTGCCTGTGGGTGTCTGTCAGGGGAGGTGTGGGTGAGTGGGTGAATGTGGGGTGTCTGTGTGTGGAATTGTATGTGGGGGGGGGTGATTGTGTGGAGAAGTATATGGGAGTGGATGAAGGTGTGGCCATATGGCTCTGTGCACACACATGATGCACACACAACAGTGGCCTCAGCTGAAAAAACAATTGCATGAAAATGTCAAACAGGATGTACCATCTTCCCTGCCCACTTCTGAAGGGGAGCTATCCATGACGTAAGGACTGTGATTCAAAGGAAGAAAACAGATCAAAGCTCTCCAGCCAGACTCCAGACCACATAACTGTCCTGTCTTCCTGACCATGGGACTCTTGCTGTAGGGTTTGTTTACATCTATGGAAATTTCATGTCATTGTGATGTGATATGTGTTGCAAAGAAAACACACTGTTTGGTTAAGCAGAACTTCTGTGTGTCACTTTGAGCCCTCCCAGCCATCCTCGTGAGGGCTCCTCGGTAGGGCTTCCCCATTTTTCATTTTGAGAAGGGGAATTTTATTTTTTATTTTTGTCTTTAGGGAAGAAACGATTAACACTGACCCTGGGGTGTGTCTGTATTTAGGTATCTGGGAGGCACAGAGAGCTGCAGCCTGGATTTATGGCTGTTTCCACACTGCCACTCCAAACAACTCAGCACTAACCTTCATGCTGGATTTCTTTTCAGCGCTGGGTGCCAATCATACCAAGGCGGGGATGTCTTTTATGAACTAGTGTTTGATGAGTGCTGGCCCATGAAAAGAAGCTAACCTTAAGGTAACCTAGACTATGCTGGGTTTATAACGTCAGCTTCCACTTCCTCCACCGGAAAAGTGACCAGAGAACAATAGAGGGAGCTCTGAAGAGATCTCAAAGGGTTTATTTTATTCATTGGCTTTAATTGATTACAAATAATTTTTAATTACATGCTTTTAAAATTTAACTGAACTGGCATCTTACTGCACTCTCTGAGCCCTTCACATACCTGAGTGAATTTAGCCTCACTGGGTGGGGTAGCGATCATCAACTGCACTTTATATATGAGGAAAGCAAAGAGAAGTTAAGGGACTTGCCCAAGGTCACACAGGATGTCTGTGCCAGGAATATAAGCCTGGTTTTAAGACTCCCAGGTCAGTTCTTTAACCATCCTTCCTCCGAGGGTCAAAACATTACAGTCCTTTACACTGCAAGGGTTTTTGTCTGAGAATCTCACAGCTTCACACCTCTCTTATAGGTAGCAAAGTGTCATGATCCTCCCAATTTTGCTGATGGAGGAAATTGAAGAACAGAGAAGGTAAACAACATGCTCTTGATCACTTACTGAGTCAGTGGCCATAGAGCCCATGGGTATGTCTACACAGCAAAAAAAAAAAAAGACCCATGGTAGCGAGTCTCAGAGCCTGAGTCAACTGACTTGGGTGCAGAGGGCTTGTGCTGCAGGGCTAAAAATAGCAGTATAGACGTTTGGGCTTGGACTGAAATCTGGGCTCTGAAATGCAGCGAGGTGGGAGGGTCTCGGACCCCAGGCTTCAGCCCAAGCCCACACGTTTAGACTGCTATTTGTTAGCCCCAGTCCTGCAAACCCGAGTCAATTACTTTGGGCTCTGAGACTTGCTGCTATGGTTTTTTTTTTGCTGTGTAGACGTACCCTATGAGTCCTAATTCCAATTGCTTTGTTAGTCACGAGGCTGTACTCAAACTCCCAAAGCAGGAGAATTTATTTTGCTTTAATTCAATTACACTTTCTCTAAGTGGCAGCATCTACTGTGCTCTCACTTGTTCAACACACGAGTTCTAGGGCTATTTTCCCCTCACTTTAGGTTCAGCCTGCAGCTGAAAAATGTGGCAAATTTGGATGAACTTCAGGAAATGGCCCCACAGGCTTCACTAAGCATTCGATAAAGCGCCAGTGCAGCAATGCCCATAAAATACCCACAGATATGCCATAGGCCCATAACAGGCCTACAGTCCCTGTACCCAGCTCCCATTGGCACAACTGGAAATGCCGCCAAGGAGTGGGCCATATGTACTGCTAGGTAAGACGACGTAGATTGTAAGCTCTTTCGGGCAGCGACCCGTCTTTTTGTTCTCTATTGCAAGTGAATTAAACTAAACCAAATGAAGGCCACTTTAATTCTGAGACAGCATCCACACAGGGGTTTAATGTGATTTAAGTAATCCTCGTTGAATTCACACCTTTAGTTAATTTGGACTGGTTTTTCAGAGTATCCTTGTCTAGACAAGTTGTTCCACTGCATGGACTTATTGGGATGCAAAACCAGTAAAAGAAAAGCAGGATCAACGCTGTGTATGTGAAGGCGAAAAGTATAACTGGGTTCAAAAAAGAATTAGAGAAATTCACAGAGTTCAATGGAGATAAATTCAATGGCTATTAGCTAACATAGCCAGGGACACAACCCCATTCTCTGGGTGTCCCTAAACATCCATCTGCCAGAAACTGGGATTGGACAACAGGGGACAGGGGACGGATCATTTGGAATTGTCCCGTTCTGTTCATTCCCTTTGAAGCATCGGGCACCGGCTATTGTCAGAAACAGGATATTGGGCTAGATGTACTGTTGGTCTGAGCCAGTGTAGCCATTCCTATGTTCCTATGCACATGGAAGGCTGGACACTGCTCTCAGTTATAATGATGTAGATTGCTACTAACTCCGTTGGCTTCAATGAAGTTACTCTGGATTGAGGGCAGAATCTTTCAACTAGCATAGTTTTAGCTTATCAACGTACAAGATCAATCCATATAAGAAAAAAGCACCACTTGTACTCAGATCTCTAAGGGGAAAGTTCATGCAAATTGTCTGCCATTAGCAATTTCTCGAGTGTGAACTCCTCCCAGAGATGGGCATCAGACAACTAAGCCATTTTTGCAAATTTTACCTTTGAAGGCAGAAAGCCAATGGAAAACTATACAGGGAGCCAAATGTTACAGAACTATGGATCAATACCAAAAATATTACATGTTCGTTAGCACTGTTTCTTGTCTAGTTGAGTTTCCTGAAATCTTCTGAATGCTACACACCAATATGAACAAACTGAGCCAAATATGTTCCTGATGTAACACTACTACACTCAGCTGATTTATACTAGGGATAAATTTGGCCCTCTGTCTACTAACTGTATACATAATTAGTACAATTCATAGATGACTCAGTTATGCTGATTTAGCTATAAACAGACATATAATTGTGTGGGTGTATGTATACAAACACACGCATATAAAGATACACAACCAAACTACGATAGTGCACTGTTAATGTTGCAAGTTTGCACAATTAAAGTCACAAGAAGTCAGTAAATGCAAAACTTATGGTTTCTACAATTTTATCAGCTTGCCCATATTGCATGTCTTGTATGTACTCTGATATGTATTTTAGAATATCAATTACATATATGAATCTGTGTGTTTTAGCAGAAGAAAAATAGGAATAGAAAACACTTAATACATGAAATGCAACAGTTAACATTGGTATTGGTGCCCCAGCTTGTACCATTTCTCCTTTCACTTTCAAATAGGACACACAAGTCCATTGATTTTAATGGATTTTACTATCCCGTTCTCTGAAGATGTGTGTAATCATAAGAACACATGAATAGATGCAGACATATTATCTGTGCTCCTTCCTTCTATTCTATACTATTAATTATTCATGAAGCTGTGAGCCCAGGATCTGCTGTAGACAGAGCAAACATGAGAACAGATACTCCACCCCACTGCATTTCACACCTATCCCCTTCCATTATGGAGAGGTTTTTCATCTGCTAGAAATTAATATTGGAGAACCAACAGCTTTATGAGGTTCCAAATTAAGACACACAAAACCTGGATCTCAACCTCCAATCCCTGAACAGGAAAAACTCCAATTGACTTTAAAATTATGGAGTGAAATCCTGGCCCCATCACAGTCAATGGGAGTTTTGCCATTGACGTCAATGAGGTCAGGATTTCACCCCTGGAGTGTAAGACGGAGAACTAGGTCTTTGAGCAATGAGAAATGCATGTACATTTTTCTTCCGCATCCAAGGCTCTAGGTAATTGAAAGTGGCCATAAAATTGTAACAGCAAAACGATATCAGATTGATAGTTTCTGCATAGATGGACAATTGCTATTGCAACGTGATCTATATAACTTAACCGTGTCAACAGGGCTCTGAGCCAAAGGAATCTGAACCCTTATGAATCTCAGTTGCAAACAAAGTTCATGCAAGTGGCTAAGGTTGTTTCTGAGATGGTATGTTGGTATATAACAACAGGGACAGACATCTCCCGGAGACACGACCATTCAGTCCCACCGGAGAAGGGACCTGGAAAGTTTGTGGGTTTGGGTGTTGTTGTTTTTTAAGTACAATAAATGTTATAAAAGGGACAGTACCTGGTCTCCAGGCTGTGGGCGCATCACAGACACACGATCATAGCCTTTCCGCAACAGGACCCAGAGAGCATCCAACTTGCCCTGCAATTACAAGAAATACGGTGAATTATTTTTGATACGCTCAACAAGTGTTTGGTGAATAGCTCAGTTCAGGGGCAGCACAGCTCGGACCTCTATTTTGATTAAACTGAATGCTGTGCTTGTGAAAGGTGCTGGATCATCAATCATGGAGCTTGATGTCTTCTCTCAACAGAAGCTCTATCAGCACTTACTGTGGATTCAAAAAATGAAGTTTTCAAAGAGCAATTAGGCACATGAGTCCTGTTGAAAATCAACAAAAGCTGGGTGACTAACTTCCATTTGTACCTTTGAACATCTCCCTCAAATCTTACGGGCCACTTAAATACCTGAAAGGGTGTTTAAAGCATGCACAGTTCTAATGCAAACTTCCCCACTCTTCCCCCAGCCTTAACTCTCAGCTGGATGGGGACCACGTTGGGTTGAGGGGTCTCCATTGTCCATTCACTCCCTGGAATCTTTGCTGAGGTTGCTGGTGAAAATGCTATATAAATTCAGGAAACCGATCGGGTGCATTTATACATGACATTCCCCGCCAGTTCCTCTTTCTCTTCATTAACTGGGATGGAGTAGTGGGTTTGTAAGTAGTGATGGGTTTCCTATTAGCAGTGCCAACCTGGTTCTAACTGCTTCCACTCTGCTACACAGATCAGTCTGATGGTTGCATTGTGATATGTGTAAATAACCTGCCTTGGATTCATTAATGGAGCAGAGAATGAAAAACTATTTATCCAACCATCCATCCTCCACAAGACAGCTTGGTCATGACAATGTGCTATATAGAAACCCATTTAATCTTTCGTTTTAACTGCAGATTCGTAACAGAATATCAGGTTACCAAAGCTCATGTGCTCATGTCTCTCTAGCTCTGTCCCTTATGCCAAGTCAGTGTCTGTGACTTTTCCCAGCAATCACAAACACCCTTCAAAACCTTGTATTCCTGTATCCTCAGTGTCAGGGCTGGTCTACACTGGGGGGGTGGGATCAATCCAAGATACGCAACTTCAGCTATGCGAATAGCGTAGCTGAAGTCGAAGTATCTTGGATCGAATTACCTGGGGTCCACACGGCGCGGGATCGACGGCCGCGGCTCCCTCGTTGACTGCGCTACCGCCGCTCGCTCTGGTGGAGTTCCGGAGTCGACGGTGAGCGCGTTCGGGGATCGATATATCGCGTCTTAACGAGACGCGATATATCGATCCCGGATAAATCGATTGCTACCCGCCGATACGGCATGTAGTGAAGACGTACCCTCAGTCTCCCCACAGCTATCAGCCTCATGCTGTAGTACTGTTTGTGGCAGCAATTAACCTCATTGTGTGGTCTTTCTTTGGCCTTAGCTAAAGAGAAATCTTACGTGCAATTGTAATTTCACATCTAGCTGAAGGATTTCAACAGGGGGAATTAGTTAGAAATAGAGCTGATTGGAAAATGGATTTTTTTCCTGCAGAAAATGTCAAATTTCTATTGAAAAAACAAAATTTTTCAGCTTCCAGCTGAAAATGGAAAATTTTTGGATTTTGGCCTTTCAGTTTTCTGATAAAAAGCCAAAATTTTCCATAGAAAGTAGACATTTTGTGCACAAAAAATAAATAAAATAAAAATCATTTGGTCAAAAACCCAATTATCTGTCAAAAACAGTTTCAACAGGATGCTTTTGAGCAGCTCCCAGTTAGAGGCAACAGATTGACATGTGGGAATTCCTGCCTTTGTAGCACATCTGTGCAATCCCAATAAGGCATTCCTCTATTTCTGATTGGAATGAGGCAGCGAGAAAAGAGGCAAATACTGTGGTTGTTTTCCAGACGAGTTTAACGAGGCCAGAAAAAGTGTACAGCTGTGCACAGCACCATGTGCTCAGAAACATATATTCACTACCCAGGGATTCCCTGCATTGTTGTAATGTTCTTCCTGTCCCTTCTATAAGGGGCCACTCTTCCACTCTCAAAAATGAATCAGCTTCCCTGAGATCTGAAGAAGCGTTTTCCTGAGTGCAGCATGTTGGAATTTTTAATTTCCGGCTGAATGGAAGAGCACAGAGGTATACCTAGCATATTTATCAAACACTCTCTGCATTTCTGCCAATTGAACCTCTCCAGGCTGAATGCATGATACTGGATTTTTCTGGGTACTGCTACAGAAGGATGTTTGAAGACATTTGCAATAAAATTACGGTCAATCCTGGATGCTGCTTGCGATTAACTGAATAGCTGCCAGCAGTACCACACCTTTGTGTGGAACAATTTTTCAGGGAAATCAGTAGAAACCCCTATGCTGGAATCCTTCTACACATGGACTGCACAAACACGCAAGGCTAAGCAGAGAGCCAGTTCAGATGATCTTATCCTTATCTTGCTGACAACTTTCACACTAGAGCAGGTGGGAACTTTTAATTCCCCCCCCTCCCCCCCCCCACACACACAGAAAATGGACAATAAAGAAACAGTTTTCATTTTTGAAAAAATTTTAAGTGGAAAAATTTGACTTTACCAATAAAGAATAAATTTTTTTTTTAGTTTTTTAAAACCCAAAAACCTAAAAAATTTCATCTGAAAACTGAAAGATGTGTAATTTTTAGCTGAAAATATTCAGTTTTCCAAATAAATAAATAAATAAATAAATAAATTTCTTGTTGAGGAAAGAGAACATTTTTTGGTGTATAGCTGCAGACCAGTATGGGAGCAGAGGGCCAGACTGGAAGCTCAGACAAGCAGAGAGGGCTAGGGGTTGTATAAGGACAGCAGGGATCATGAGTCTGGAGGAAGTGGGGTAGACTGGGGTTCAGAGCTATGCAAATAATGAATTTTCTAGTTTGCTGCATTTCTCCCTTTCAGCTGGGCAAAGGGATTAGCAAACTGCTCTAAATGCACTGTTTTGCTTTGTTCCTTGGATTACTGAAGAACGTAAGAACATAAAATGACAACCAAACTGGGTCTGACCAAGGGTCCATCTAGCCCAGTGTCCTGTCTTCTGACAGCAGCCAATGCCAGGTGCTTCAGAGGGAATGAACAGAACAGGTAATGATCAAATGGAGCCATCCATTTAAACTGGATTATACAGCTGATAAATTTTTAAACATCTGAAAGAATGTTTAAGGGGGGGAGGGGGAGAGTCCATTTGGTACCATCCAAATAAGTAACAACACAAAAGTCTGCTGTCTGACAGCACTTAAAGTCCAGGGTATTTCAAGCTACAATATATCCACTCTCAACTAAAGGCAATCCACCTACTGGACAGACGCTCCTGTGGAAGCAAATGTAAAGGGAAGAAAAACTCCATCAGATAAAGTGACAAAAGCCAGGAAATTCCGAGTGAAGGATAGCGCTTCTGCGGCTGTGTGAAGCGAAGGATCATGTGCAAAGGAAGAGAGATGATCACCCCTTAAATGTGAATTTCCTGCTTAACTTTCCTCAAACATCGGTCCTAAGATTTGGTTTTGTGTTCTGCTTTATGAGGACTTTTTTTGTTGTTATTAGATTGCAACACGCACATTATTTACCTTCCATCCACTGAGTGAGGAGGTATTTTAAGCAGTGTAATACAACCAGAGGGAATGGTATGTCTTGTTTAGCCAATGGAGTTGTGCGCACTTCGAGCACTGGGATGAAGGAATATTTAAGATGAACACCAGGAGACATTTCCAATGGGTGAGGCCAGTGAGTCTGTGGAATATTCTCCCACAGGGAACAGTGGATAGTGATGTGTTATTTTCAAAGCAGACTGGAAAAAGCACTGAAGGATACACTCGAGTTAGCAATCCTGCTTTGGCTGGGCACGTGGACTCAATGACCTAATAAGTCTTTCCTGCCTCTGGCTTTTGTGATGATGTGAGCACTTCCCTGCACGACACAATGCAAATTCATCTCTATACGTTCATGTTGTCCGAGGAAAAGATTTGGCCAAGAGCAGAGTGGGGTGCTGGAAATTTTTCTGACTGGAGGGGAAGGGCAGTAGCAGATCATCAAGTTCCCAGAAACTGTTCCTTCTTTTCTGCTGAGTTCTCATGGATTGTGTTTAGGGAAAGTTTTGGATGCAGTTATTCCGTCTGCATACGTTGTCTTTTGGGGTCGTCCAGTGAGGGTGTGATGGAGATTAATAACTAGGTAAAGTCTGTTCTACAGATGGGCTCAAGCCACTCATTGCTGTAGTATGTGAGCACCTTTCAGACATACGTTAAGCAGCATGGCTATCCTCTGTCCCATGTGGTTTGTTCTCTCACTCACCCCCTTCTGAGGGGGAGAAGTGTGCATGCAGTGAAGTGGTTTGTTTTGGTTGGGCTTTATGTTAGTTGGTTTGAAATCTACCTGCTGCTCTGTGTTTATCTTAAACCTATCTCATAGAACTGGAAGGGACCCCGAAAGGTCATAGATTCCAGCCCCCTGCCTTCACTAGCAGGACCAAGTACTGATTTTGTCCCAGATCCCTAAGTGGCCCCCTCAAGGATTGAACTTACAACCCTGGGATGGTCCTTAGTGCTTGTGGGAGTTTGTTCCACAGTCTTGCACTGCCACAGCCTTAGCATAAATGAGAATCTGGCCCTTAGCTTCCGAGGCTGCTTTGAGTCGGCCAGAGAGCGTTTACAGGGCATTCCCTCCCCGGGGGATGGGCAAGCTGCCCTGCAGTGTTCCGAGCCCTGCCGACCATGGTCATTGGCCGTCATTCGCTCTCTGCGCAACAGAATCAGTCCTTCATTTCCTAGGGTCAGCTCTTCCTTGTGCCATCTGGCAAGAATTATTTTTTTCTTCACCAGGCTAATTATTAAGTAAGAACGGGAGCGAGGTTTCTCTCTCGCTGCACTCAGAGAATGGAAGACCTGCCTTTGCAGACTTTGTGGGGGCTTCAGGCATGAGTAGGGGAGAAAGCACTTTCGAAGGCTTAGCTACACCACTGCAAGAGCCGAGGGCCCCATTCCTCAAGTGCATTCTGGCTGCTCTGTACCACTCCAAAGCAGCCCTAAAGCCAGCTTAACCAGCCCCTCTCCACTGCCTAGTGGAACCCTTGGGTAGTGGAGAGATGCTGCCATGGTTTTTACATTGCAGATAGCATGGAGGGAGAAAAGAAGCACGACTGGGGCTCCTTTATACCGAACAACCCCTTGAGGCAAAGGCATCTGGTGCAAGTTAAAACAGCCTTTGGGTGGACTCCCAGGTCTGGGACAGGGAACTTTACACAAAGTCACTCTCACTGCTTTAACCTTTGCACATGAAAACTCTCTATAAGGCTGTATGAGTGTTTAACGTGTATCTACTGGAATCAATCTATAGACTATGTACCTGGATAAGACCTACCTTGATTGGTGTGTACCACCTCCGGGGAGAAGAGGACCTGCGCATGCTATTCCCCAGGTTCCTGGGTTCGGGGAATTCATATTCTTGCTCTGGCATCTTCACTCTGGCATTCTTGGCTTTCTCTAGTTTAGCCCCTTCTTCTGTGGACCCCTTTTCTCCCCAGCGGACCTAAGAAGAAAAACATCATTGGCATCTTAAAATAGCATCTGCTGTTGAACGTAAAGCTGCAACATTTGAATCTGGATCTAGATTTCCCCATTGTCCAGATTCACTGTTGAGAGAGGGACAAGCTGCAAGGTTTGGGTCTACACTGGAGCTTTGGGTGCTGGGATCTGGGGCTTTGGTTCAGTTCCATCTCTCCTGATTGCAGCTGCAAGGAGTTCCCACTCTGGGCATTTTGGCACATGGAGATGCTGGGTTTTCTAGAAATGAAGAAGATCATTTGCCTCAGAGAAGACAATTGTTGTACAGAATCTAGAGGTCTTTCCATACTTCAAACCTGATTCTGAAACCATCAATCCTCATTCATGCAGGCAGTCCCACTGGCGTCAACAGGGCCAGTTGCTTGAGTTGGGGTTGGTAGAAGCAGCAGAAAATGCAATTGCAAAGGGCTAGCTGCACCCCTGTGAGAGTCCAAAGTCCCATTCCTTAAGTATATTCTGGATGCTCTGCACTTGCCCATTGGAACAGCTCACCATGGGATGGGGTAGATTCTCCAGCACTAGAAGTCTTTAAATTGAGACTGGATGTCTCTCTAAGGTTACATCCGGTATGTAGAGTACAGACACTGCATGCCCAGCTAGCATGGGTATAAATAGCAGTGTAGACGGCGAGGCACGGCTTAGGTGAGTAGAGTGCCCTAAACAGCTGAACCCCCAGGGTATGCACCCTACACAGCTCTCTGCACATCTAAGCAGGGCCTCCCATGTCTAAACAGCTATTTTTAGCAGTGCGATGTCCTGCTGACTCCCTGCTGCCAGAGCCTTTGTGAAAGACTCCAGCGGTGGGGAAAGGCTCTGGTAGATCCCCGCTGCCAGAGCTTTTCACTGTGATATGCAGCTACACTCAGCAGTGACCAGTGTGGACATAGCCTGCCTTTCAGTGTGGCGTGTAGCTACGCATGTAGTACCTGTACTCTACGCATAGGGTGACCAGATAGCAAGCGTGAAAAATTGGGACGGGGGTGGGGGGCAATAGGTGCCTATATAAGAAAAAGCTCCAAATATCGGGACTGTCCCTATAAAACTGGGACATCTGGTTACCCTATCTACGCGCAATGGTAAGTGTAGACATAGCCTAAAAGATACACTATAGCTCAACCACAAGTTACGGGTGCTACTTTATGGCTTGTGTTATGCAGGAGGTCAGACTAGACAATAGTCCTTTATAATAATAGCCCCATAATGGTCTCTTCTGGCCTTGAAGTCAATGGGCTTCATTTTCATTGCCCTGTATCATGGGTTGTCATTGACACCAGTGCAAAGTGAGCGGTAAATGCTACCATTCTGATTGGATAGCGTTTTACTCCCCCGATACACTCATTTCGCACTAGCGTTAAGTTACTGAAGGGTAACAGAAAACAAGAAGGACCTAACGTCTGTAGAGAATCAAAGCCAAAAACTCCCAAGGCTCTTTCTCCTTTGTGCTCCATTGACAAATGAGAAAATGGGAAAGGCAGTGTTATTACCTGCCACGACTGAATGTTATGGGCTATTGACAACGTGAGTTATTAAAAACAAACAAACAAACAATCCAAAAAATTCCATTTGGGTTTTTATTAAAAATTGATTCCTGACATGCATCCAACACAGTGCGGTTCCGCGGAATTCCCTTCGGGCAGCTCCAGAAGAACCAATACAGTGTTTTATGAAGACAAGGAAAGTACCTTGCACTCCTGCAGACCAACGTGGCTTAGGGCTTGTCTACACTTAAAACGCTGCAACTGTGCCAATGAGGTGCTTCAGTGAAGATACTACCTACACCAATGGGGGGGGGGGTTCTCCTGTCAATGTAAGTACTCCACCTCCCTGAGAGGCAGTAGCTAGGTTGTCAGGAGAATTCTCCCATTGGCCTATTGCTGTCTACACAGAGGGTTATTTCACACCTCTGAGCGACATAGTTATACTGACCTAACTTCCTTGTGTAGACCAGGCTTTAGATGTGCATAGAAGAGGGCATAGAGCCCTGATTCCCAGGCTGCTTCCATGAAATCTCCTTCTTTCAGACCCCACTTCAGGGCTTTCCACAGAAGCCCAATTTTCTCCCTGTGGAGAACTTGGAGTTCTCAGCCCTTTTATGAGGCCCAGTTATTTCTCAGGCTGTCATCTGCCCCCAATTAGTTCTGTCCTTTTAGGCTGGGAGGCAGGTCATTATGGTTCAGGGAGGCCTGGTCCCAATTCCTCTCAAAGGAGCCAGTCACAAAAAAGTGAGAGAAAGTGGTATGTTCCCCAGCAGAATGAAATGAAAAAATGCAGTGTTTGGAAAAACCTTTCAAATTTTTCATTTTGAACAATTTTTGGTGGGGTGGGGGTTGAAAAAAAAATCTTGATGAAAATGGACATTTCCATTTACTAGGAAAGCCATTTTGGGTGGGGTGGGAGTGGGGGTGGGGGGAAATCTGACCATCCCTTATGAACAGAAACTAGTCACTGGTAGAGATAAGCAGTCAACAAAACCCAAGAGAGCAAACCAAAGCATTCACAGAGCCTATTGAAGAACGATCAGCGACTTACACCAACATTTTCAAACATGATGTCTAAAGTTAGGCTCCTAAACCCATATTTCAGCTGGAATTTTCAAAGGAGAGCCTAAGAAGGGTAGGTGTCTAACTCCTATTGAATTTCAATGGGATTCCTGAATAAATGCCCTGATTTTCAGAGGTTCCATATACCCACATTCACCTCAGTGGAGTTACTTCCAATTAACACTGGCATCCCAGAGAGAGAGGTCACACCTCCTCTTTGTTTCCCTCTGGGAGAATGGCAGAAGGATCTTGTGGCTGAGTTTACGAGTGAGTTTTCCTGGTACGTAAGCAAATATTTATTTACCTCCATCCTTTTAATGCCACCAACACCTCGCCCACCATAGTAAGAAGCATCGACTGTTGGCCACTTCTTCTTAGGAAGGCCATCGTCATCTTCTTCCTATCAGACAGAAAGGAGATAGATACTTTACATCACGGGGTTGCGTTGTCAGTGGACACAAATGGATGACTAAGTAAAGTGCAAACATAGACTGTAAGACCCCTTTACATGGGTTATGTTGAGCCAGCAAAAGCTGTACATGGGTTAGCTTACTGAAGCTAGCTTGAATCTAACTAGCACTGGTAGCAACAGCAGTGAAGCCAGTGCAGCATGGGCTTCAATGCAGGTAGTGTAAACCCAGCATGGACCCTGGATATGTACTTGGCTCACTAGCCTGCACTATGTTGCTTTCACTGTTATATTGCCTGCAAGCTGGACTCATGCTAGCTCAGGTAGGCTAGCCCAGGCACAGCGTTTGCTGTGTAGACATGCCCATAAAGTGTCAGAGAGCTGTAAAGGGGTCTAGATCTTTTGGTGGTTATTTTTCAGGGGATGTGCATTCCTGTTAAGAAGATATTGTTTGGGTTATGAAATAACACAACTTGACAGGTACAATCCTGCCCCAGCAAAACAACTTGTTTTGTTTTAAAGAGACTCTGTCTTGCATCATCTCTGAATTCTGAGAAGTAAACGGGTTGATCCCACAACATTTCAAGTTGCAAAATCATTGCTTGAAATCTGGTTGAGACCGCCTTAAAACAGAAGAAAGAAGAAGGAATACTGGGCCAGATCCTGAGGTATGGCCAAAAAGCACTCAGCACAGCTCAGGAAGGAGGCATGAAGGTGGCTTTAAAACATCTTTGCACTCCCCCAATCCTGGGGCCTTCTGGGTGCTGCTCTGGGTACCTATACTGGCTGTCAGTGGCAACAAGGAGCAGATCAGGGGGACTTATTTCCAATGCTGTGAAACCCTTCTGCAGTCAGATAAGGCTGTTTAGGATCTGTTAGGATGGTGTCCCTAGCCTCTGTTTGCCAGAAGCTGGGAATGGGTGACAGGGGGATGGATCACTTGATGATGACCTGTTCTGTTCATTCCCTCTGGGGCACCTGGCATTGGCCACTGCCGGAAGACAGGATACTGGGCTAGGTGGACCTTTGGTCTGACCCAGTATGGCTGTTTTTATGTTCTTAAGGGTACATATAGCAGAGTGGCCCACTGTGCACATTCGATACGAGACAAGTGTCAGCAAACTAAGGATCTCAGAGAACAGAAGGGGTAAAAAACTAAGAGGCAAGAGGGATTCACTCTTTTAGGGATTCAAACAACTTGCTTGTCCAAACGAAAATAAAAGATAACTACCGAGGTGTAAATACCAAGGAGGGAGAAGAATGCTCTGAAGTGGTTCAAGATGACATTACCAAGAAGAACAGGATGCAAGTGAGCAAATGTAGGCTGAATATTAGAAGATAGTCTTAATAATGATCTTTGACTTGTGTAATCTACGAGGGAGACTGCCCTTTAAAGACAGACACAAACACTCTGCTGGTGTGCCTTCAGTGACTTTACTGGATTTATGCCAGCAGAGAATTTGGCTCACTGTGTAAAAATGGAAATCCTGATCCTGCAAAAGCTTAAGCATGTGCTTAGCTTTACACACAGTGAGTCGTTCCACTGAAGTCAGTGGGACTGTTCACTGTTCATAAAAGGGAAACGTGCAGAATCAAGGTCTAAGTAAAGGCATTAGGATTTGGCCCAGTGAATTCTATTAAAGCGTGGTAAAGTCCCCCTCAAGGTAAGTGACTGAGACTTGATTGCCTTAGTTATTTAAAAATGAACTGGAGAAAGCCCAAGAGGGATTATCAAACTGGAGGTCGTGACCCCTCACAGGGTTACGTGGGGATCACAAGCTGTCAGCCTCCACCCCCAAACCCTGCTTTTCCTCCAGCATTTATAATAGTGTTATATATAAAAATGCGTTTTTAATTTATAAGGGTCTTAGGGTCACATTCAGAGGCTTGCTGTGTAAAAAGGGTCACCGGTACAAAAGTTTGAGAACCACTATGCAGTAGGTGACAATCCTGCACTGGTCCCAGGGCAATGCACTATCTGACCCCCATGGTTTATAATTTCCATGATTCTCAAATTGGGCTGAGAATTGGTAAAGCAGAAAAGCAGAGCTGGTTAGAAAAGGGGACGCATTTTCCAAGAAAAAAATGTAGGAAGAAATATTTTTCTTCTTTCTTTTATTTCTAAATGGTTCACAAGAATATTCCAGGGTTTTGATCAAAAAGCAAAAACCTCTTCAGGTTTCAAAAATCAAAAACAAGAAAAATACATTTTTTAACTAAAAAAATATTTTTAGTTTTTCATTGAATAATGAGAAAAAAATAGAATCATAGAATATCAGGGTTGGAAGGGACCTCAGGAGGTCATCTAGTCCAGCCCCCTACTCAAAACAGGACCAATTCCCAACTAAATCATCCCAGCCAGGGCTTTGTCAAGCCTGACCTTAAAAACCTTTAAGGAAGGAGATTCCACCACCTCCCTAGGTAACCCATTCCAGTGCTTCACTACCCTCCTAGTGAAAAAGTTTTTCCTAATATCCAACCTAAACCTCCCCCACAAAATTTCAAAGGAAACTCAATTTTTCATTTCCAAACACAGGCATTCTTTTGTCAATTTTGTTTTTCAGTTGGAAAATTTTGACCTGTTCTAAAGAAAAGCTAATGATTAACTAAGAACTGCAAGTTTCTTCTTTGCTGAAGCCTCTCTCTCTTTGCTGAAACATAAGAACTTCATATCTCTGCATGAATTTTTCCATGAGGATTATTATTTTTTTTAATTGGGACCAAAGCCATCCAAATATTTTCTTTCAGCGTCTTTCTTTCTTTCTTTCAGCACAAACTGGACTTCTCACAACAGGAAATGCCAAGACTTAGGAAATCTTCCCCGCAAGCCCTTATTAGCTCTGAGAGTCTTTTCAGATCTTGAAAGGAGGTGTGTCTGCCAAAACAACAACAAAAGTAACACCCCCTCATCCTCCGAATGGCTACAGCATAGGCTTGGAAAGCAAGAGTCACAAGCCCACTGCAGGATGGGGCTGTTTACATGATTTGTAGGCACAGGCGATTTTGCAACACAAGCACGGAAAACACCCTTGACGTGCTTCAGACTTGGCCAGAAATTCAACAGGACATACGAGTAGCTAAAACAAAGGAAGCACAAATATATATAGAGAGGCAGATGGATCGCAGGTCTGGGCCCATTAGTATCACTGTCCCTATTTTACAATCTGAGGTACAGCAGGGCATGGATCAGCATTCACGTCGCACTGCACTGGGCCAGGCAAGCTAATGATCCAACCAGCGGACCAAATTCAGTGATGAATCCTGGTCACGTGCCCCCTGAAGCATGTTGTGCATACTCTAAGGAGAATCTGAAGCACAGAGGGGTGACTTTCATAGATTCAGAGGCCAGAAGGGGACCATTGCAATCATCCGGTCTCACCTCTCATATAACACGGGCCATAAATAAAGTCAGACAGCAAGTCGATGGCAGAGTCACAAATAGAACCCAAAGGTCAGGAGCCCACTGCAGTGCTTTAGCCTCCAAACCATCCTTCTTCTCAGTTAATAATGTGGGGCCAAACACTGAAGTCCTTGCTCAATCATGAGTCAGTCCTTGTTCAGACCACCCTTCCACTGATGGTAACAGGAATTTTTCTTGCGTAAAAGCTGAGTCAGAGCTGAGAAAGGATTTTCAGGCTTTGGCCCAGCAGTGATAGGTAAACGAGAACCCTAAAAATCCAAGTGCGTTTCAGGAAGTTGGACAGTGACTGTATAAAAGCTTTTAGCCTTAGATGGAGTTTACCACGAGCTTTGGGCTGCATTCCCAAGCAACCCGACTCCAAGAAGACCCGGTCCCGGCGCGCCGGGGGCCGCTACCGGCCTCACACCATCCACGGGCACCTCGTAATGGTTTCACGCACTCTTGAACTCTAGAACGAGAGAGTTCAAGAGGGTGTGAAACCGTTAAGAGGTGCCCGTGGACGGTGTGAGGCCGGTAGGGGCCCCCGGCGCTCTGGGACCGGGTCTTCTTGGAATCGGGTTGCTTGGGAATGCAGCCCAAAGCTGGTGGAGAACTTTGAAGAGAAAGTTCAAGAGGGTGTGAAACCGTTAAGAGGTGTGCGTGGACGGTGTGAGGCCGGTAGCGGCCCCCGGTGTGCCGGGACTGGGTCCTCTTGGAGTTGGGTTGCTTGGGAATGCAGCCCAAAGCTGGTGGTAAACTCCATCTAAAGCTAAATACTGGCACGAGACCGATAGTCAACAAGTACCGTAAGGGAATGTATAAAAGTTGGCATCTTTCCACCTCAAATATCTGCTTTAGATGGAACTGGAGTTAAATTAAACATAAAAGAAGATGCCGACACAGATAAATTTTTGGAGCCAGAGATCCATCTTCATAAACTGCCAGATGACAAAAAAACAAAAATCTTTGTCTCATATTTTGTACTAGGCTCCACGTTCTTCAACCCTGACCTGAGGGAACCTTATTTGTGGTTGACATAAGGATAATTCAAGCTCCCCTAGGGGCATCTGAAACACTCAGGGCAAGAATTCAAACTGAATTTGAACAGATATGAAAACGCTTGGAAACCTTCTCCTCTTCCCTGCCTTAATTATTTTCACAGTGGCCTCTGCACTGCTGGAGCCCCACCAGAATAACATTTATGCAGCACTTTGCAGGCTCAAAGCACTGTATAGCCATTGACAGCCCTGCTCCCTGCCACATGGCTGGGCATTATTATCCCCATTTTACAGCAGAGGAAACAAGGCACAGAGTGGCAAAATATGACTAGTGGAAGGCCAGTAGTGGAGCCTGGATTAGAACTCACTGTCTCCTCCTTCCCAAAGTCTCCCAGTCTTGCTGCCGCTTTTCCATCAAATCTCCAAAATGCCTCGAGAAAGGCTGTTCTCATGGGAGTGATGGTGTGACCAGAAGAAGGCAGCCCCACTAATCCAGCGAGACAACATGTTCTCAAGAGACTTTTTGCTCAATTTTGCAGACTCCAACAGTTGGCATACGATTCTCATCAACATCCAAAACCCAAGCCTGCAAG